AGCAATGGAAGCTCCCCCCACCACCAATGTCGTGCCCGGGCGCGGTGCGTTCCGAGGCCCGTGGAAGCACAAAGCCTCAGACTTCTCCAGTGCTACCTCTGGGCCCAAACGCCGAATCCTGGTCACGGTATGGGCAACTGGGGCCGTGGCTAATACTACAGCTTCCCGGTGCGTGCTGCCTCGGGCCGTAACCAGCGTCTCGTCGGCGTAACATACTACATTGATTCCACCAATGCATTCCCCACGCAGCACCCAGTCGTACCCGATATTCCACAGGAGCGGTCCGAGGACTGACCCCTGTTGCACATCGCATGACACGCTCCTTCGACTCACGCCATCGCGGCTTGGATATATTACGGCTCTATCGGAGAGGTAGGACTCTACTATCTTCCGTAGATACTCGGGCACACAATGGAACTTCAGCGCCTCTGGTATGGTGGACCAGGGCAGTGTGTTACAAGGCGTTGGCGATGTCAAGAGACACCGCGAAGAGCACTTCGCGATTGCCCACCGCCTCGTCCGCCAGGTCCCTCAACTTTGCAATGGCGTCAATGGTGGACCTGTCTCGGTGGACCGGTCATAGCCACCCAGTCCTCCAGCGACATGCCACGTGCGTCAGTCACCAGAGATCCATACGCCCTGGACTTGGCGTTGAAGTCTCCAGTCACGACCACCAAGTCGGGGCGACTCCTGTCAATCAGAGCGCCAAGCTTGACCAGATATTGTTCGAACTCGGCAAGGATCCGGTTAGGAGAGAAGTACACCCCGACGAACATCACCCCTCCTACAAAGGCCGAGACAAAACAATGACCCCTCGAGGGTACAGGGTAGTGCCCTCTCGAGGGGCGGGGAGCCAGCGGATGTCCGGGCTATGATGGCCACCAAATCGTCCCAGTCACCCGCCCAGTTGTCCCTGGTCGGGACCAGGTAAGGCTCGGCGATCACGGCGACATGTATGGACCACTCTGCCAGACTCTGGAACAGGAGGCCCTGAGCTCTGATAGAGTGGTTGAGATTCCCCTGAAGAACTCGGATGGCCATCTTTAATCAACGGCCATTTCAATAGCCCCGATCCGCCCAGTTGGTTTCGGGCGGGATGGCGGTGAGGGGACCCTGGAGCCATCCCCGCCGTTCCGCTTCCCTCTTTTCTTGGGCGGGCTAGTAACGCAAACGTAACGTAACCTTGCCTCCACCTCTGTGATTCGCCGGCCTTCCGGCAGCGGCACGAACTTTGCAATGGGGTGTTGCCTGGCATCCACTGGCAAAAGAACGGCCACACCGGAAACACTGGTCACTACGGTCGACAGCACTAGTACATCTGGCCCTTACGTGGCTCAGCTCGAGGCATTTAAAGCACCTCATGGGCTTGGCGTCAAGCAGTTTGACCTGCGCTGACGTTCAGCCCACAAGGAGTCTGCCACCCTCCACCACTTTCTTTGCAGCCTCTATCGGGCAAAGCAACCACACTGCCCCAAAACCGGTGAAATCCAAGTTAACTTCCCCGGACTTCACCGATTCTGGGGGACAACCCCCAACCCTAGCGACCGCAGCCACTACCTCCTCTGCCGCCTCTGCCTCTGTTCTTTTAAAATTTAACCTAACCTAACCGAACCTAATCGTGTCTTTGCGATAAACATCCAACATTTCCTGAAAGAACAACTGTTACGTTATAATTCGGTTTTCGGTGTAATGAAAATTCGAACAAACGTTATTTCGGAAAAAAATTCGAGTTTGTGATAGGTTACCGTTAAAAATAGATGGAGGAGCAAATTTAAGGTTAGCTTTGGGCAAGCAGAAATCGACGCTGCGCATTCTGTCAATTAACACTTCTGTTCAATTTTGCTTTACCTATTTGGGTCTTTCTGTTCAACTTCTAGAAGTTTCCTGTCCCAGCTGCCCGGTGAGGCCTGACGAGCTCGCTTCATCACATTGTCGATCTCTTTGCGACGGCCAGCAGGGTTCGACGGGTCTGTAAACAAAATATAAATATAACCACGGCTATGCAACAGATGCTGGTTCGAATATAGTCATATTTATTTTTTATAAAATACCTACTAAAATAGTAACGGCATAAGCAAGTCGTGCGCCTGGTTATATGCAACACGCCTATCCACAACAGTTGCAGTTAAATTGAGCGGCATTGCCACCATTCTAAGACTGTATGAACACTGTTGACATCTTTGCCGACAGTTTGCCCAAATTTAGACACTATCAAGTCCCTGACATCTTAAATATATACATACGTATATTGTTATACCTTAATTACTTTGTTTTGGATTTGATTTTTTATTTTTTGCTTTATTAATATTATTTACATTCTTTTAAATTTAATATGTGTGATCAATTCTAATTGTAACGGTAAATGTTAACGTTCTTATTCTACATTGCTTGTTGTCTTCACCTATAACTTCTATAGTATTAAGTTCTTTGTTTTATAATGTTAAATACCTAATTGAATATTATAATGTGTATAGTGTTGGTGAACTGAATAAATAAATAAATAAGTTGACAAGTCCCATATGCCTGTAATTTCACCAGAACCCTTATCCTTCAAAACCGGAAGGCAGTAATTCTCATATTACTGCTTGGCGGCAGAAATAGGTCGATACCTATTTCTGCCGACGCATTTCGTTAGAACAACACGAATTTAATCAATCAATGTTCTTATTTGTAATTTACGTTTAAGATTAACAATTTCTATATCCTTTTTCTAAAGCTTAAGTTTGACGTTACAAAGGTACCTGACTGAGCAAAGAAACTTTCATACGTTCCTCACAGGTGGCGCTTTGGCAAACAAAGCCGTTTAAACTCAATACATAGATCTGGTGACTCTGTATGTAGTTTAGTTCGTAAGGTAGTCACGGTTAGGTAACAGAGGCTGGCTCGAGTCCAGTCACATCGAAGGGAAAAGACCATTTCTTTTTCTTATAAATAACATCACCATCATATCAGCCGAAAGACGTCCACTGAGACGACGACTTGACTGATGTCGGACGCGACATGCATCCATCGGTTACTCGTCGATTCTCTCCATTCGAGGATCTTTCTGCCCGTTAAAGTTGCTTCAACTTGGTTCCTTTGCAACTTTGTCCGTGACTTTCGTTATTCTATAGATCTCCTCATTTATGATTCGATCACGTAGAGAAATGTCGAGCATTTCTCGCTCCACAGCTCGGTGAATGACTTTTGAGCTTTATTATGAGGCCCATAGTAAGTGACAATGGTTCAGAGCCGTAGGTCGCCGCTGGCAAAACGCACTGATCGAAGACTTTTGTTCAAGCCGTTGTTTGATCTCAGAACGAAAAAAGTAAGCGATACACCTACCCACAACAGTTGCACAGCCATTTGAAGCTTTAAATCGCAGAACCTCCCCATGACAATTTTTAATTCAGTTGATAAATCTAAGTTTGCTTATTTGGTAATGAACTATTGTTACACATTTTGGAGAACAAGGACGATATGAAATTACGTATATAGCTATCTTTGTCGCTTAATCATCGCCGCGAAAACCATAAATCAAAAAATGTCTTTTCATCTCGTTTGTTGTGCTCAATTTTTACGTTGATAAAATTACTGTGCAAATGTTTTAAAATCAGCTGCGACTTTGCAGCCATGTTTGGCACTGTGTTGTGACATCTTTTGCAGTCATTGATCGCCGGCGCTAGCCATGACATAAAATTGTGATAAAATTTTAAAAGGCCGGTTTATCACTCGAATTTGACAGTTCAATGTGGATATAATAGCTTTATTATGCCTCATAGGGGGATGAAAGACGTGTCGAGTATATTTTTCGTAGCAGTTACGTTTGTGTTTATTTAATTAATCTTATGCAAAAGGGAAGGTGGACAAATTTACTGCATGAAGAAATATTCAACACAAGATCTTTATTAACACAGTTTTGATGCAAAGCTTGAACCTATTCATTATTTAGTTTTAATGTACTCACCGGTAATCCTGGAGTGCTGTGGATTCCGATCCATGTGTAGTCGGTTTTTGGAGGCTGCCTCCACTGCGCGGGATATAGATCCGTTGCGGCGCGACATCCTGTTTTATATTAGCATGTGTTAATATGTGGTATTGCTATCAGATAGAAATCATGGTATCTCTTTATATGCGTACATACACAGATTTAATTGTAAAATACTAATAGCCTCATAGGACTATATTATTAACATCACGAACAACATATTTGTACCACAACTTTCAAGAAAACGTACTTAACAAATTTTCCAAAAATTAACTACTAAGTTTTTTGTTTGTGCTATTGGGCACTTTTTAGATTGTAACTGTAATTGGTAGTAAGCTCAAATGTATAAGCGTCATTCCCGTTGATTCCCATCCCCGCCCCAGCATTTTGCATCAGACATGTATTTACTCTAGAGCTTTTTTTGTTATCGCACAGAGTTATCACCATTTAGAGCGATTTATTTAAACATTTTTGTTTTTTCACCTCCCATTCCTTTTTCTTGTTAAAATCATAAACAGTTTTCCGGTTTGGTGTAGTACACAAAAGTGAAATATAATTTGTGAATTCGATGTAAATAATAAAACAGTTATTCGATAAGACAAAGTTTCTTTGTTTACGTTTAATCGTATGTTTATTAAATCTTGTAAATCACGATGAAATATTTCACATAACAATATTTGAATTATTGATGTTTATTGAAAAATGAGTGTTTTTGGGTACTGGCTGTGAAGGGAGACTTGGGCATGCCCAATGCTCATTGTGTTGGTGGAATATTTTCATAGTTTTGTGTTATTCGATGGTCCCGCTGAATAAACAAGTATTATCTACACATGTATTATGTGTTATATATATTAAAAAAAATGTTCTAAAAGACTAAATATACCAAAAATCTGTTTACTAAGAATATCAAGATTTACTTTTAAGAAAATGCTGAACACATTCCAGATAAAAATTAATTTTATGAAGCACAAAAGTGCTTTAAAGTAAAATTCTTGCAAAAATCTAGCAGATTTTGTAATGTTTCTTAATTGTCATGTACGTTGGACAATGTGATAATATTAAGGGCGCGTTCACATTACATTGTGACTACGCATAGTTGTGTAGTTTAAAGCATAGTGTATATTTAAATGAAGTTTCTTGTCAAGACAATGGGAAGAGTTAGAACAACTGTTGTCTGACGATAAATAAAACGTCACAATATAAATGTGAAGACATAATCGCAGCTACTATTGTCATCACACTTTATTTCTCGCTATCTCATGTCTCACAAGGCAGCTGCTGTGATGAAACAATAAATTGTCATCATGATCCAGTGGGATCAGCTAGGCATGACTGCCAATTAATATCCACAATACAGTAACTACAGATAGTCGTGATATGGAAACTGGCTAAGTGCGACAGTCATCTAGTAATAAATAAAATGTTAGTATATGTTCCAGACACTAGTTTATTACACTGTACCACACCATTATAATGACAATAATGTGTCACACAACCAAACTGATTGCCTGGGCATAAACTAGGGAATTCTGTGTACAATGAGTACCAGAACAACAAAATCACTCTGGGGCACTTCCAAGCACACGCAGACCAGAACCAACTTAGAAAATTTCATTTTCCAAATTGGTTCAACTGGAAATCGAACCTGGGACCTCCACCTCCAGCACCCACCAAGGTCATCAAAAGTATAATATTAATGTAATTTTGAAATGTGAGGCATGTTCAGGCAGGGGTGATCCGAACCACAGCAACATTGCCACTGCTGTAAGAGTTTAGTAAATCATATATAAACCTTTAGTCTGTTTGTAATTGGAAGATTGTTGTAGACAATTTACAGCCAAAGTTTCACATGACATGCGAAAGACGAAAATACACGATGAATCATTAATAGCAATATCCAAGTAAAAATAAACTTTTTCAAAATGTCTGCCATATTGATTACTGTACCTGGGACACCTGCGACGAAAATTATAACAGATCTTACCTCTAGGTTTCTGAAAACGGGAATCAGAAGGAGCTAGGGCTCCGAATCGCGCGCGGCGAGACCGCGGCCCTCACGCGATGGGCACGGATTCAACGCGTAGCCCGGCGGCGCCGCTGCAGAGAAAATCGACTTTTATCATCACGAAAGCGGCGCGCGGGCGTTAACACGACGAAACAACGAATTCCAGGCGACAGGCAAGTACACGAAACGAAAGTTGCCCACGAAGATCGATCATGCAGCTTTACAGCCGCGCGCGAACGCGAAGGCCTCACGGGACAGGCCACACGCGGCTATCGATCGCCTCTCCGGATTCCAAATCTCCATGTAATATGCGTAATCCATTGATGGAAACAAAGATCTTGAGGACCAGGAGCCATTGAAGAGAAGATAGCTGAACATCAAACATTATTACATCCACTTTATAAATCACAAAACAAAGTTACGAACCAGTATAATAAAACCAAAACTTTTCACTGATGTTCTATGGCGAAACGACGATGATTTCGCTTATTATCGGCGACACATCTCTGTCAATGCACCTTCAGCCATTTTGCTTTGCACATTGCAATTTTTTGTTACACCTTTCACTATACGTTTAGTTGTCAATATAACCAGGGTGAAAGTTCATTTTGTATAAAATTAGTTGACTCACATTTCTATCGCACCCATAAAACAATTACGAAAAAGAAAAGAATTATTTTCGATAAACATTGCAGCACAATAACAAATTAGTTAATTACATAAAATTTTGATTATAAATTATGTTATATTCCACGAAACATGTAGTAATAGAACGCAATGAGGATTAAGTGTTGCCAATACAAGCGTGTGGCTTCATTTTGAGCAAAATCTTATAGGTTAATTCTTGCAATTATATACGTACTTTAAACATGTACACAGTAATAACACTTTAATAAGAAAACTGAGTGGACACAAAATAAAGCGCATGTAATATCATGAAAACAAACAAACATCAAAAATGTCATATCAACGAAATATAAAAAATAATGGCAGTTTTTGAAAAGTGTATGGGAAACACAGAACTGAAAACAATAGTGCGGTAAACCGGTGGCAGCGGTGCACCATGCTTTTTTGTAGTTTTTGTTACTTTTCTTTAAATATTCTTATGTAAATGTAATCAATATTTCTTTTTAATCAATTATATCGTACTTTAAGATCATATTTTGCATCCTAGAGTTTAAAAAAGTAATAGTAATATTTCCAGCAATTTTCTTATCAGTCGCGATCGTAACTAAAAACCAATTTCATTGTTGCTGCTCCGATAGAAATCAAAATAAACCTCATTAGTGCTCCGATAAGGTCTAGGACGGCGAAAAGAAGCAAAAAGGGAAGAAATTCCAACCTAAAATAAGAAATGCCGGTTCTTCAATATTGAAGGTATGTTCAAAATTAAATTAGTATATTTACATCTTGGGCGATTGCCAATTAACAATATTTTTTTTATTGCACGTCTTTATGGATACGTCTATTTGAATTTTATTCTTAAACTTCAGAATCAAAAAGATTCCAATTAAGTTTTAAAAGCGTATTAGCAGGGTCGCCGGTAGGTCACCAATACTAATAAATAATGAAAAATCAATTGGAAAACAATAATTATCTTGCAAATAGATTTTATTTTAAATTAGTTGGTGAACAGAGGTACATACGGCGACTTGGCCGCGATGCAAACGCGCGACTGCATCGGTACAAACGCGCGATTACATCGGTGCAAGCAATCGCATAAATCCCAAGTGTAGCGATGCAATAGTGCGTTTTTATCGATGCAGTCGTGCGTTTTAAAAGTCACCGTGTGTAACAGCCTACTTACCGTACTACTTACTTAAGAAATGGTTGATTCTCCGTGCAATCTTTCATCCTCTATTTCACCCTCTTTAAGATTTGTTTTTGTGACAAAAAGTGGCCTATGCCCTTTTCCTAGATCTCACTTATCTCTATACCAAAATTCATCAATGTTAATTCAGCGGTTTAGGCGGCAAAACTGTAAACAGAAGTTACTTTGGCATTTCTGAGTATTTATTTATTATTATTTATTTATTGAGCAGTGGCTATAGAGTCATCAGCTTACACAGGTAACAAATAAGAAGCTTAAAATGTAACATAAAACATTAATTTAAGTAGTTCTTACGTAAACACATCGAGTATATAACCAGAAATAGAGACGAAATGTCATTTAATTTGTTTGAAAACTATTCTGCCAAATCATTACGGTGACAACTGCGCTCCGATTGGCTAGTCTGAATTTGGACCAATTTAGAATTTAGTTTCGAATTCGGGCTGGTCAAAAGTTGGACGAAAATTGCAAAATTACACATTTAATATTTAATTACCGATGAAAATGTGATTCTGCTGGTTTTGTAATTAGATGTTTTGCTGTTTTTCCCATACCATCGAATGGAATAGCCCCCATCGTTAGAGATATTATCTTTATTCCAATAAATACAGAATACTTTTGGAATATACGGAGGCGTACACACAGGTCAGTTGTTGGCGCTGTACTATATCAGTTTTGTAATTTGTGGTTTCAGCACAAACGAGAGTTGATATTTAAAAGTGATGTAAGGCCCATTTGCCTGATGGGTTGCCAGGGATGTACGTCTCGTAGTTCGTCTCTATTTCTGGTTATATACTCGATGCATAAACAAAACCCCGAAAATTTTTGTGTCGTCGTTGTACAAATCTTCGCATTTTTAATATTAGTTTGGATGGTATATTTTTCTTTACCAGCCAATTCGCGTGTCAAACAGCAGCTGCAAAAGAAGATGGCGCCTATAATTGTGACAAAAAGATCAACCTCTATACTTGTATCTATTTTTGACAGGATGAGGAGGAGTTAGGATGTCTGCCACTTGGCCTCGTGCCAGATAATAAAAAAAAATCCTTTACGTACGTAAATTCCACCACGATTTTGGAGAATTAAACAAAATCCGTGTATAAAATTAAATTCTGTTGTTTGTTGAAAGGTAATAATAATCCAGTCCTTATCATAACTAACGTAATCGTCGTTTTTAGCGAAATTGAGGGTTATTAACGTATCTGTGGCCGCTTTCAAGAATAGCCGATTTTGGTTATCTATGTTGAATTATAATGAAAAACTTTAAAATATGTGTCCTCTTTGTATTTTTCATGAACATAATTCTAAATACAGTATGTATTTATGAACTTACAAAAAGTGACAATGGAAATTTCCAGGCCAGGATAAATATATGTATGGCCTACATTTATTGTGTCCAAGGTACCCGCGATACAGGATTTTCCTAGTGCAGGGCTATGAGTGTTGCGTTAAAAAAAATGGGTGAAAATTTATAAAAAAAACTTAATCGTTTTCCCCTTAGAGGATGGAAAAAAATAAAGGAAATTCCCAAAGATTTTTTTTTAAATATTGGGCAAGATATTTCAACATATCGAGACGGTGGAAATGGAAAAAAAATGTTCCTTACTACAATATATCGCTTAAGACATTTCAAAATTCGATACATCTACGAAATTATTACCCTTATGTCGACATAACCTACCAACCTTCCCATGGCCCTATCAACCTTCTTGGTTATACGGGCCGAAACAAAGAACAAATATTATTCTTACTCCTATGTCCCTAATGCAACTCTCCCCCTTCTGGGGCGACACAATTACGCCTTCGGTGTCCGCCGAGAGGTCGCAACGGTCTCTCTGCGTCCTCTCTAGCCTGCTCCGACAGTCGTGCCATTTCCGCGCGAAGTCCCGTAGCCGCCACACTTATGTCGACAGTGGTAATTTGAAATGCCCTAAGAGACATTTTGTGAAAATGTCCCTTACGACATTTCAAATTTCCACCTAAGAAATATGGGTACCGCCGAAAAAGCGGTTCTTTTGTAGATGCACACATTGTGATGCGATTCTTTTGTTTCAACAACAAGTCGTGCGTCTGGGGTTAAGCGACACGCCTGTCCATGGCAGTTGCAGTGCCACTAAAAACTTTAAATCGCAAAGATCTGAGGGGCACTGCCACTGCGCCCGTCACCCTGAGGCATATGTTGACAAGTCCCATAAGCCTGTAATTTCATCAGCACTTTTACCCTCCAAAACCGGACCGCACTACATTACTGCTTGGCGGCAGAAATAAGTAAGGTGGCACTACTTCCCTGGACAAACTCTTTCACAAGGAGGTCTACTGCTCTACTAAAGCTCAGCCGTAAAGTTGGTTCTTTTGCAGATACACTTCTCCACGCGACTTTCTTTTGTGTCAACAAAGTGTCTGTGTACAGCCGTTCTTTTGCAGATGTTTCTGTGGCATTGCAACGCGTATTTATTTACAAGTCACAATATGCCATAAGGCGAGCCTACATTTTAGGAGGTGAAGTGTGGCCGCTTCTCGAGTATCGCGCGCTGCAAATTAATAATTGTGAATAAAATATTACGGGCTGAGAAAATTTGACATCCTCACACAGGAGAATCCACTAAGGCAACACGAAGCCCAGCACCATCAACGCTCATTCCTAACAACACTACCTAACCACCTACTCAAATAACTAACTAAATAGGCGACAGGAATCCTGGCCACCGGTTGCGGCTGGTTGGTCTTCCCCTCCACAATGGCGACAGGACTTCATAATTATTAATACAAAGATCGAACACCCAGAAAAATTCCTTCGATCCGGCCGGATTCGAACCGACGTCTTCTAGCATACCGCGCCAGACGCTATACCAACTAAGCCACGGAACGAACCAGCGGACCTCACGAATTTTCCTATGTGCTTGTATCTGTGTATTTGGTTTTTCAACGACTTTTTAGCCGTAGCGCCATCTATGATATTTTGTCAACCAGTTGGTAGGGTAAAGGTAAGGTATCTATCTACCTTTACAACTACCAGCCCTGGCTATAGATGTCGCTATTCATTGTATTTAAATTTTTATTGAATTGGTGTTCAATTATTTTACGTGAAATTACTCCACTAGTTTGTTATAATCATTAATACAAAGATCGAACACTCAGAAAAATTCTTTCTGAGAAATATCAGGTCGATATAAAAATGTTGTTTAGCCTGTTTTATATGATCGGATAAAGACACCCTATCTTGTAACGAATTAGCCCATACTTTAGTAACTATCCTTAGGTGTATCGTATATATTTTGTAAGACTGTTGTTTACTTAAATCATTTGATTTAACAAAACACTTTTTACCGCTTCTCCTCCGGTGGCTCGCCTTAACTTATAAGATATAAGGTCAATAAGGTTACGTAGTGACATTCTGTATTAGTATTATCGTATGTTTTTTTTCTTATAAACGTATACATAAGTGTCAGTATCAGAACACTGAACCTTGTTTAACTAATCAATTACAAGTTTACCTTGACGATCTAATGAAAAAAATGATGTTTTTAATAATAACTGTCGCCAAAGTCAGATAACCTTTATTTCATGGGTAAATAAATTATAATAGAATAGAA